TAATATTAATATATTTTTTTACAAATTTTATATGATATTTTTAAATTTATATTTTATTTAAAAATAAAAATATTATATTTTTTAAAATCATATAAAATTATATTTATATTGACATGGATAAAAAATAAAATAAAACATTAAAATAAAAATACGTTTCGTCTAACTGCATTGCACGAATGTACTTCTAATATGTTGAAGGAATATTTGTCTAAAATTATATGTTACAAAGAAAATAAAACACGCCAAAAGCAAGCAAACAAAATCAATGGTTTTAAACATCAGGTCAGGACGGTTACTCTGCATCCGCTGAAACTGTGTAGAAATCGCGACGACGGAGGAGAAAGGTGAAGAACACTAGATAAAGGATTTGAAGTTGCTATCACCTGGTATTGTTTCTCTCTCCGTAATCTCTAATTTCAAATTCATATACACATCTATGCATTCACTCAAACTTGTGAAGTTTTTCATTTTTAGAAGCTTAATCGTTCATCAGATCAATGTTTGGAACCATAATCGTTGCTTGTAGGTGTTGAAAACTTGAAGTCGCAACCAAGTGTTTTTCAATTTAGGTGTGTAATTATTAAGCTCGAAATAATCAGTCTTCGGTCGATCTCATATAAACTATAATTTATTCGTCCTTTCTGGTCGCATTATTTCCGTCTAGATTCTATTTCTATGTGCAGTCACAGTCTTACAGAGTTTCTGGCGATACGATTTTCTGAAGTTTCTGGATGTAATCTGTGTATTATCTATGAAATTTGTGAAGATCTGAGGGTTTTATATTTGTTATTTTTTGTAGTTGTGGAAGTAGTGTGCAAGAGCCGAGGGAAGTAATGAAAAGGGACAGAAATGGGGGAATTTGGGATTTTGAGCATGAGATGGCTGCGGCCGGTGGTGATCAGGATCTGATTCTGGGATTGGATGGTGGGACTACTTCGACGGTATGTGTATGCATGCCGGTTATCCCTCTCACTGACAACCACCTTCCTTCCGACCCTCCTCCGGTCTTGGCTCGTGCTGTTGCTGGCTGCTCCAATCATAATAGTGTTGGAGGTACTAGTTCCTATATTCTTTCTCTCCATGCTTTCATTATCAATAGCTGCTATTATCTGTTATGCTTGAACTTGGACTTATATACACACAAAAAAAAGAACGAGAAAAGACAGATGCACAGCTCCGTGATGGAAAATAAATTATTCAATATTAGAGCTATTTTTATTGAGTTATGGCAGGTAATATCTACTAAAGTAGTCAAGTATAGTTCGTTTTTAATTATACCATGGTTATTTGTAATGTTATGGTTTCCTATATGATAAACAAGCCACAAGGTTACTATCTCCAGACATAGAGGGAAATGTCTTAGTAATTCAAAAAAATTCTGAACTTATAATATGGATACCATATATGTAGTGGTATATTTCTTGTTCAACACTTAAAATTTAAATACTACTATACTAGTGAAACCTTGTTAACCAACCTCAGATGTGACAGTTGCCCAACTTCCATAACACTTGAGCTCAGGTGGTCATTTCTATATAAGATATGCATATCAAAATACTGAATTTATATGGAATTTTTAGGCATTTAAAAAGAAGCGTAAGACCTTCCTTTGATGCATCTAGCAACATTCGGATAAAGCTGGTTTCATTGTGCCTTTCTAGGCTGGTTGAGTTTGGTGCTTACTTAATTTTTGCTTGGTTTCTCATGGTTACATGGCGGGCAGGGATTTAAACAGCTAATTAAATCATTATGCATCTAGATTTAGACTAATCTTTGCATTTCAAGAATACCCTCGTTATACCCAGCTCGGACCACAAATGACAAACCCATACAGCTCGTTTAACGAGGGCCTGCTCTCACTCAGTTCACCTATGTGATTTATCACAACCATCATTTCCCAACATGCTCTTTGTGTGTGTGTTATATTAGAGACATCAAGATGGATGGTTCTCTTGGATCTATCCAATGAAGCTAGACACTGATCTCGTGAAGAGATGCGGATAAATTATTTCATGGTTCTGTAGATGGCAATTATAGTTTCCAGAATGGGGATTGGAACAAACCCACCTATGTGAGTGCATAGAAATATGAAAAATCCTGATGAGTACTCTGAGTGTGACATCCCATTCACTGTTCTAATTACACTAGTCAGAAGATTGTACCATGTGATGATTATTTTCTACATATACTTGGCAGAAACTGCTGCAAAGGAGACACTAGAACATGTTATGGCCGACGCTCTTTCAAAGGCAGGTTCTACTCGATCTGCTGTTCGAGCAGTTTGTTTAGCTGTATCGGGAGTTAATCATCCAACAGACCAGCAAAGGATTTTAGATTGGCTTAGGTCAGCTGTCTGTATATCATTCATTCTCTTGTTCTCATCCTTGCATTTTTACACTATAAATTCTCCTCATATCCCATACTTCTGTTTATTGTTAAAAGTGTAAGGACGCTTCTGCCTAACAGAAGAATGCCTATGAGTAGCCAGTTGGATCTTATCAAAAAAATTATTGAAAGATCACCAAAAAGAGCTTCCTCTTTTTACCTATTTGAAGTTAATCTTTTTCCCTTGGATCAGTATATCTATCTGCATCTTGTCTTTCCAGATGCAAAACTTCTTAGATTTAGTGTTTTATCCGACTCAAGCTTATTGTTTAAGTTTGGACCATGATCATGTTTTGACTCATAATCTAATTACTGTTGATTCTATGTTTTTCCTTTCTTTATTCTTTCCCTACCCAGAGCGATATTCCCCAATGATGTTAGGTGTTCCGTTCACAATGATGCCGTGGCTGCTATGGCTAGTGGAACCATGGGAAAGCTTCATGGGTGTGTTCTAATTGCTGGTACGGGGACCATTGCTTATGGGTATACTGAAGATGGAAGAGAAGCCCGGGCTTCTGGTGCAGGACCCATATTAGGTGATTGGGGAAGGTATGATATGCTAACCCTTTTCATCGGCTATAACAATTGGAACTAGATATTCAACTCTCTTCTCGTTCTCAATCACTGGAATTCTTGGAACATATTGGTTAGTTTATTTACGTGGTGACCTTCTAACTCTTCTGGATTTTAATAGTTACATTTCACATACACAGTTGATAACCCCATTTGCCTAAGTGTGATCGAAGGCGTGCTTAAATTTTGCATTCTGCTTCATACATATACAAATATGTATGCATATTTTCTTTTTATATATTGAGCATATTAGGTGAATGTGGGAGATCTCTCTTATTTACATGTAGTGGGTATGGTATAGCTGCAATGGCATTGACATCAATAATAAGGGCTTACGATGGTCGTGGTCCGCAAACAATGCTTACATCCAGCATCCTGCAGGAACTCAAACTTTCTTCTCCAGATGAACTAATTGGGTATTTGTTTCTCCAAGCTTATGATATATATTTATAGGGCAGCTATTATGAAATATAGTTGTCACTGATGAACTTCATTTGAATATAGGTGGACCTATGCTGATCCATCTTGGGCTCGAATTGCAGCTTTGGTCCCAGTTGTCGTATCTTGCGCAGAAGCAGGCGATGAAGTTGCAAATGGCATATTACTTAATGCAGTTCAGGAGCTGGCCTCAAGTGTCAAAGCTGTTGTTTGCAGACTTGGGTTGTGTGGCAAAGGTGAATATCCAAACCAGAAAAGAGAAATAAATTTCTTTCTGTATTTCAATTGGTTTCTATGATTGACCTCCTTACTGAATAGTGAATACTGATGCTATCTAAGTTCTCATCGTCACACTTGTATTTTGAATTTTTATTTATTACTTATTTTTCAAAATCATAGCACTTTACCAGAAGCAACTTCTACTTTCAAGAACATTTACCTATCGAGTTTTGCATATAATTCTAATCTCTTATATAGCCAAACTCTGTTTCAAAAAGCTGACCTAACTTTGACCATAGGATAGGGAACATAAATATGTATCTTATACACATTTCACTTTACGAAAACGGTTCCTTTGTTTCTTGAGACAGACATAACGTCTGCGTACATCCTACTCCTTAGACCCTTACCTTCGGGTTGGATATATTGAGTTTGTTTGTTTTTATTCATGTTTCACTTTTTACGTTGCTTATCATTGGGTGTTATGTTTGTTTTGATGTGTTCTACGGTTTACATGAGTCACTTACTTGGCAGATGGAAAGGATTCTTGTCCGCTTGTAATGGTTGGTGGTGTCCTTGAAGCTGATAGGAGGTGGGATATAGGACAAGAAGTAATTAGTTGCATTTCCAAAGAGTTCCCTGGGATGCGTCCAATTCGGCCAACGGTAGGCATCTTGTACTTTGGTCAATAAAGATAATGTCACATTTTAACTCACTAGTATCCTAATTGGAAACAACATCTCTACTCTTTTAGGCTAGAGGACATGTTCGCATACATATTAAAG